GACGGCACACCACCACCACCACAACAACCATTTTTGTTTAAAAATGAGATGGGCAGAGATTATTGATTACTCTCTAGGTGCCTGGCACGTTGTAGTTCTACAATGAATATTGCCGATCTGTCAGGAGACTCCTGATGGAGAAGCTCATTATGTTGCTGGAAAGCGTTCTGGGGACAGTACGAAACTGGCTTGGGGACACAGGTCTTGTTTCCTGTTGGTTCAGCGTGAGGGCATGTGGTCTTATTGGGGCTAGTAGTGGGTGAGGGGTTTCTTTGGTCCAGGGTTCACTTTGACCCCACATTCACTGCCTGCCTTTTCTGTGCAGTCTCCAATGAAGTGCCAGAGCACCCGTGTGTGTCCCCTGTCTCTAATCATGTCTACGAGCGGCGGCTCATTGAGAAGTACATCGCAGAGAATGGCACAGACCCCATCAACAACCAGCCTCTGTCTGAGGAGCAGCTGATTGACATCAAAGGTGCCCACTGGCCAGCCTCAGGCCAGGGCTGTCTCAGTTCAGAGCCTGAGAGAGTGGGAGGTGGTGCCTGTGTATTGGAAGAGGCAGTGGTGGTCTGTTAATGCAGGCTGAGGGGAAAAGAGATGGGGAATGGGAAGAGGCTGCTGGGTTAGGGTTCTTCATACCACTTTCCCTCTTGGCAGTCGCTCACCCAATCCGGCCCAAGCCTCCCTCAGCCACCAGCATCCCGGCCATTCTGAAAGCCCTGCAGGATGAGTGGGTGAGTCCCTCAAAGGGAACCGATGTCTTCCCCACTTGAAGAGATGGATCCCTGGACTGGGATAAGGAGTGGGAAGGCTAGAGTATTGTCTTTTTTGAGGGACAGAATGATATGGGAGGAGGAACCTGGGTGTTGAAGTCATACAGGTCTGGGTTTCAAACTTAGCGTCATTGCTTACTAGCCATGTGACCTTGGGCACATTACCCAGCCTCTGTGTCCTGGTTTTCCTGACTGTACGGTGAGGATTTGAGTATTTGTCTTTCAGGGTTTTGTGAGGGTTAGGATACGATTATTGAGTATAAACTTTGTGACATCAGGGAATTGTTTTATTCATCAATGAGGACAGCACCTCGTACATAGTAGGTGCTCTGTAAATCTGAATGAATACATCTTGAGGGACTGTCTGGCACAGTGCCTGACACAATGAGGGCGACAATAAATAGCAGTGGTTATTACTCCTTTTGGTGAGGTGACAGCATGACATTGATGATTTGCCAGTAAATTAGAGAAGATAGGAGTGGGAAACATCTGGCTCCTGCTTCTGTCCCTGGGCCCAGTGTGTGGCATGGGATGCATTGGTGTGGGACAGTATACCTGCCGGCACATTCAGGGTCACTCAGATACTGCTTGGTCACTGATACCAGTCTGGACTGTGGGATGGGAGACAGTGTCCCTGATCAAGGGCTGGCTCTGTCCTGCTGGGTTTTTTGGCACCTGCCTGCCCCACATGGTGGTGTTTCTCTCTCCCAGGATGCGGTCATGCTGCACAGCTTCACTCTGCGCCAGCAGCTGCAGACAACCCGCCAAGAGCTGTCCCACGCTCTATACCAGCACGATGCCGCCTGCCGTGTCATTGCTCGACTCACCAAGGAAGTCACTGCTGCCCGAGAAGGTGCAGTCTCTCCCCTGCCCTCCCCTACTCTCTGCTGGTCCTGCTTTGTTGTAGCTCATTGCCAACACTGTCTTTTCCCTCAGCTCTGGCCACCCTGAAACCACAGGCGGGTCTCATCGTGCCCCAGGCTGTGCCAAGCTCACAGCCAAGTGTTGTGGTGAGTGACTCCCCACCCTTGCCAGCAGCCCATTTGGGTACAGTGGGCCATGTAGCTCTCTTAATGCAAGTGTCCTTGGCATCGTAGGCCTCTCTTATCTTCACCTTTCTTTTCCTCAGGGTGCAGGCGAGCCAATGGATTTGGGCGAGCTGGTAGGAATGAGCCCTGAAATTATCCAGAAGGTAAGTCATGCTCTCACTTGGTGGGAATGCTGATGGGCCCTGAGTCCATTTGCCTTGAATCCAATAGGAATAAAAATCCTGTACATTTGGAAGTAAAGTGTGGCAGTGCAGAGAACAGACTCTGGGGCCATATGGCCTGGATTTGTATTTTTGATCCACCACTTAAAAGCTTTATGACTGGGCTAACTTAACCAACCTTCTGTGTCTCATTTCCCTTACTTCTAAAATGAGAATAACAGTGCCTGCTTTGTAGGCTCATTGTGGGAATTTAAATGATTCACATAATTTTTGTTCAGTGTAATTTTTTTAGCTCTTATTGTTACTGGAGTTCTTTACAGATATTGAAGGCTTCTGTTAGATGTTTTCATGTTTTTTTCTGTGAGGGAAACAGGACAGGAATTATCTTCTTTATTTTACTGACGAAGAACCTGAGACTTAGATGGAGCTCCTAAGGGGCAGAACTGGGCTCTTGACTACAGCTTCAGTGCTCACCATTAAACTCATGGAGTCCTCATTTGTGGGATGCGATAGTGTCTTTTCCAAGCGGTTGAGGTTGTGTTAGCATGCACCTCAGCTCTCATCTTAGTGGTTGTGTGCAGAAACCTGGACAGGGAGCTCTACAGTGGGTTCATGTCCTCGCTCTGCCACTTATCACCTGTGTGACTTTGGGCAAGTGACTTCACTTCTCTGAGGCTCAGTTTCCTCATCTGTAACAAAAGGACATCAACACCCACATCATAAGGTTGAAATGGAAATAAAAAGAGTTAATGCATGTAAGCCTTTAGCACAGAACTTGGCAGATAACAAAGTCTTGGTGATGCTCGGGAAAGCATAGATGTAACCAGCATCCAAGGGGTCATTCTCCTGGCAAGTTCATTTGTCTCACATTGAGCCTGTCCCTCTCTCCTCTCCAGCTTCAAGACAAGGCCACCGTGCTTACCACGGAGCGTAAGAAGGTGAGTCCTCTCCTTGCGCTGGGAGAGAGAGTTGGCCTGGTGGGAGGTGGTTGCCCCCTGAGGAGAAAGGGGTGGCTGAAGCCTGCACTCACTGCCGCTTTTCTTGGGGGCTTTTTCATTTTCTCAGAGAGGGAAGACTGTGCCTGAGGAACTGGTGAAGCCGGAAGAGCTCAGCAAATACCGGCAGGTGGCGTCCCATGTGGTGAGTGGCCAGCTCCCCGGTAACCTGAAGGCAGGGCCCTCCAATGGTGTTTCTGGGGCAGGCAGGCCAGCATGGAGAACTGTGAGTGGAAAACTTCCTGGGGCCTCTGGCCCTCTTTCTATCCTTAGATGTTGAGTTGTCAGGGTTTCTCTTCCTGCCTGGCTCTGGGTTGCCTGGAAATTAAGTGAGGGAGTTCTGCATCCAGGCAGAAAGCCAAGCAGGGTGGATAAGGTACAGAAGTAACTTATTCCCCTGGGCTGGAGGGGCGGGTGGCTAGGGATGGAATAGGGGAATTGTGTGGCTTTTGGTCGTGACTGGGCTTGGTTTGGCTCTCTCCACAAAGGGCTTGCACAGTGCCAGCATTCCAGGGATCCTTGCCCTGGACCTCTGCCCTTCTGACACCAACAAAATCCTCACTGGTAAGAGTCTGGCCTGACCAGCAGGCTGAAGTGGGGCGTGGAGGATGGGGGCAGCCAGGGAAGGCCCACGGTACTTGTCTTCTTCATGTGCCTGGGGGTGAAAGCAGAGGGATCTGGATGGGCCTGACCATTTTGTGTGTCATTTGCATCTTCTCTAGGTGGGGCAGATAAAAATGTTGTTGTCTTCGACAAGAGTTCTGAGCAAATCCTGGCCACCCTCAAAGGCCATACCAAGAAAGTCACCAGTGTGGTGTTCCACCCTTCCCAGGTAAGGGTGCTCTTCGCCCCCTTCAGCTCCTCCTTCCAGAACCCTGCTTCAGTGCTTTAAGGTCCCAGAACCAGTCACCCGGCCCCACCTACCCTCCAGCGCATTGGTGGAGAAGTGAAGTGGGGCCAAGAAGGAGCTGTGAGTCCCCAGAGTTGGCACCTTGTGGCCTCTGTGTGGGATTCTGGAGGTTGCCCTTTACGTAGGTCCTCCTAAGGCATTGGTCTTCAAACCAGGGGGAGAAAGGAAGTATAATTTGAAAAAGCTTATTTAGTGGGATATTTTGTATTAGGAAAGGGAAAAAATCCTAGTGTTCATAATACAAACTTTAGAAAACAAATTTCAACAAAATAATTGTTGACTCATGGGAAGAGAGAGAAATCTTTGTTACCGTAATCCTCCAGAGTAAGAGGCAAAAACTTGATGTTGACTTTCCAGGGCTGGGAGTGTGGGTTAAAACAGGTTGAGAGCCGCTGATTTACAGGGTAAAGGTGTAACTCATTAGACCAGATTAGTGACATTAATTGCGGGATTTGGGTTTCTAAGCCTAAAACAGTTCGGGTTTGGGGCTGCAGGACAGTGGCTGGATCACTGCTTCCCAAACAGCCAGCTTTTTCCCTGGCCCTCAGGGGAATGAGAAGTGCCAGAATAACATGCTGACTTTCTCAGAAAACTAAATTTATTTGAATTGAAAGCATTGCTTTCCATTTGCTTTATTTTAGATTTTGTCCTTCCTACTTGTGGTTGTTCGGTGCTGTGGCATCAGTTTCTAGTCGAACAGTGGCCCCGTGTTACTTGGTGTTAATAGATTATTCCTCTTATGAAATACTGTGGGTAATGGGCGGTAGTTGCTTTTATTTTACGGTTTTTTAATGTCCTGATTAAGCCGGAATAATGTGTTGGGGACACTATGTAAGTTCTCCCCTTCCCCAATTTTTTTTTGACAATTAACTTGCCCCTGAAATTCTTAAGCGTGGAAGACACTGATAGTGCCCTCACAGCCCCTTCCAGGCCTAGCACTGGGCCATTCAGTATGGCAGCCATTAGCATCCCATTACCAAACCCATTGCCAGCCTGTAGGGCAGAGTAGAACTGCCCCATAGGGTTTCCTAGGCTGTAATCTTTATGGAAGCTGACTGCCACGTCTTTCTCCTGCGGAGTGGCTGGTGGGTTCAAACAGCCGACCTTTTGGTTTACAGCCGACCTCTTGGTTTGCAGCCGAGCGCTTTAACCACCATGCCACCAGGGCTCCAACCATTAGCTTAGCTTACATGTGGCTACTTAAATTCAATGAAGAATTCAGTTCCACCGTTAAACACTAGCCACATTTCTCACTTTGGTCCTGGAAATGGGGTGGGAAATTGCTCTGTTGCAGTTGTCCTTTTTTGCCACTAGATGGCGAGGCCGCCTACTTAAGGAGTCTGATTTACATTTGAATAGCCGTTGCCCTGGCCTTCTTAGGCACTGGAGTGGTTCCAGGCAGGGTGGGCTGAAAGGAGCAGTTGGTAGTTGTGGCCATCCCTAGCCCCTTTTGTAAGATTGTCACGGTCCATCTCTTCTGTGTCTCTGATATTTTGCCTTATTGCTTTCCTTTTAGGACCTGGTGTTTTCAGCTTCCCCAGATGCCACTATCAGGATTTGGTCCGTCCCGAACGCCTCTTGTGTCCAGGTTGTTCGGGCCCATGAGAGTGCTGTGACAGGCCTCAGCCTCCATGCCACCGGTGACTATCTCCTGAGCTCCTCTGATGACCAGGTGTGGTCCCAGCCAGGGCCCTGAAGGAACCGGCTGGTCCCCGAACTTGACCACCCTGGGAGGAGGGAACGTCTTACCGACCCCAGCCACGTCCAGAAGCCAGGAGAATGTTTCCCCTCTGGTGGGAGGAGCCAGCTTTGCCAGGGTTTGCCTCCCTGCAGGAGCAGCCAGCCTGGGGACCTGCTTTCTTACTGGTGCCATTGTCTCTGCTTTTTCAGTATTGGGCCTTCTCTGACATCCAGACAGGGCGTGTGCTCACCAAGGTGACAGATGAGACCTCTGGCTGCTGTAAGTCATCCCAGAAGCATTTGGCGCTTTCTGTTCATCTACTGGTTATCATTTATCGTTACATTTTATTAAGCATTTGCTCATTTATGCTTCTGAACATCTGTTTGCCACCGGCACCTGCCAAGTGCCAGGCATTGGGCTGGGCCAGTGAGCAGTAGGAAGAACAAGGGAACCTATTTTCGCTACTCTCAGTCTTGCCCCAGTGGGCTCTGACCACCTGCCCATCTCTCCTTCTCTACAGCTCTTACCTGTGCACAGTTCCACCCCGATGGACTCATTTTTGGAACAGGAACCATGGATTCTCAGATCAAGATTTGGGACTTGAAGGTAGGACATGGCAGGCTTCCACCTGAGGCCCAGGGTCAGAGCGCTTATGGATCAACGGTGCTGATTAAGTGCTTATGGCACCTGGCCCTGGGGTGTCCTGAAGGGGGAGAGACACTGGCTCTAGGCATGTGATGTGATGGCTAGGGTCCTGAGCCAGGCCGTCCACTTCTGCTGCTCCTGCTTGTCCTTCCCTGAGGAGGACGTCTCAGAGGTAGGAGGCTGGTAAGCCCCAGTTTCTTCTTGTCATGCCCAGTGATAACATGCTTTACCCCCTCTTCCCCTAACCATAGGAGCGCACCAATGTGGCCAACTTCCCTGGCCACTCAGGCCCCATCACTAGCATTGCCTTCTCCGAGAACGGCTACTACCTGGCAACAGCGGCCGACGACTCCTCTGTCAAGCTCTGGGATCTGCGCAAGCTTAAGAACTTTAAGACGTTGCAGCTGGATAATAACTTTGAGGTGTGCCCCCCGCCCCAGCTGCCTCTCCTCATTTGTCAGTTATTCACTAAATTCATCTGTTAATCTGAGCTGCCTCCCACCTATCCCCAATTGCCCCGTAGTTCTGTTCCCCAGGTGTAACCTCCTGTCTCTTGTTCTGGTAGGTGAAGTCACTGATCTTTGACCAGAGCGGCACCTACCTGGCCCTTGGGGGCACAGATGTCCAGATCTACATCTGTAAACAGTGGACCGAGATTCTTCACTTTACAGGTAGAGACTGTCCTCAGGGTGCCCAGGCCAGAGGGAAGTGGGGAAACTTCATGGAGCAGGGAGTTCAGGGGTAGGCGTAGATTTGCTCAGGTAGCTTTTAATCACTTTCTGAGGCAGTGGAGTATAGTGGTTAAATCTGTTTGCTTGACTTTAAATGCAGCTTCTACCACTTTCAAGCTGTGTGACATTGACAAGTTACTTAAACCCTCTGAAGCCGCGGGAAAGTGGGAATAGGTAATAGTACATACCCAGTGGGGTTGTTGTGAGGTTTAAATTAGTTTAAAAAAAATGCATGTGTGTATATATATGTACATACACGTATACACATACGTACACACAGGTAATCCTTGACTTACGACATGTTCGAGTTATAAACAACTGCACTTACGACTGTCCTTTTTTTTAATCTGTACGTTTTATTGTTAGTAATATGTACTAATGTACAGTGTTGGAGTGTATAATTTGCTAATATTATGATTTCCAGATGTTCACTCATAGATGTTCAGGTTTATGATTTGCTGTTCAAAACACTGCTGTGTTTTGAAATGAAAACTAAAACTAAAAAAAAATGAGGTATTAGACTTACGTCAGAACTGACTTAAGAAGGAATAGTTGTTGGAATGGAACCCCGTTGTAAGTCATGGAGTACTGGTATATATAGATGTGTGTACATGTGTGTATATATACAGGTAGTCCCTGACTTAAGATAAGGTTCTGTTCCAGTGACTGCTTTGTTGTAAGTCAATTCTGACGTAAGTCGAATACCTTTTTTTTTTTTTAGTTTTCATTATTATTGCCTTTTTTTTCTTTTTTTATTGTGTTTTAGATGAAGGTTTATGGAGTAAATTAAATAATTAACACACATATTGTTTTGTGACATTGGTTGCCAACCCCATGACATGTCAACACTCTCTCCTCTTTTTGACCTTGGGTTCCCATTTCCATTCGTCCAGCTTTCCTGCACCCTCCTGCCTTCTTGTCCTTGCGCCTGGGCTGGTCTGCCCTTTTAGTCTCATATACATGGTTGAGCTACATGTTTTATTGTTTTATGGGCTTGTCTAATCTTTGGCTGAAGGGTGAACCTCAGGAGTGACTTCGGTACTGAGTTAAAAGTGTGTCCGGGGCCATACTCTGGGGCTTTCTCCAGTCTGCCTTTTATTGTAAGTATTTTTATAAGTCCAATCTTTATTTGCCTTTGGGAGTTGGCAACATTACATTTGAGAATGATAATATCAGCAGATCACACTGCAACATTGTATGTTGTACTGTTACTAGTGATGAGATTTAAAAAAAAAAAAATAGGATGGTCGTGAGTGCTGTCCCATGGAACTTGAATACGTTATAAGTCAGGGACTACCTGTAAATGGTTAGTACAGCGTCTGGCACGTTGTAAACGCTGTATAAGGGTTTGCCGTTATCATTATGCAGTATCGCACCTTAGGTCATTGCTGGGATTAGAACAGTGAATAAGACAGACCCAGTCTTTGTACTAGTGGAATTTAGGATCAGGTTAGGAAGGTAGACATGGAATGACTTCACAAATCATTATTTGATTGCAATTGTAAGTGCTGGAGAAGAAAAGTATAAAGATGCCGAGACAGCAGATGACAGGATTTTTCTAACCTCCTAAGAGTGGTGGGACCCTGGGTATGTGATTGTCTCTTTCCAAGCCTCGACTTCTTCATCTTTAAAATGGGCACATTGATACTGCTTGTAGGTTGTGCCATCTGGTGTGGGGAGGTAGGGTGCATGGTAACGGGCCTGACACGCACTCAGGAGTTCAGTGAACGGTAGCTGCTGCTATCTGTCGATGGCGTTGTTGTCCTCATTGGCAGGTTGTGGGCAGGATACAAGATACTTCTCCCAACCTTCTACCACCCCATTCAGGCTGACTGTGTGGCCCACTGATTTTAACCCTTCACCGGGCCTGGGTGTTTTGATTTGGGGGCAGCTGAGTTAGTCAAGTGGCAGGCAGGCTTTTTAGTAATGAGCTGGTTGACCCCAAGCGTGATTCTAAATCTAGAAGGAATTTGCCCTGATGTTTGTGAATTACCCGAGTCCCAGAAGGAGTGTTGCCCAGCCTCATCTCCCACCCAGCTCACTCTGCCCTGTGTTGGGGGCGCGAGCTCCCTGGAGTTGGAACCCCATGAGCTCGAATGGGTTTATGGACTGTTCTAGTTACAAGCAAGGAGTTAGAACTAAACATATGCCAACAAGCTGAGCACTGAGGTTTTAAACTGAACTGAGAACTCAGCAGGCTTTTTAAAAAGAGTAGTTTGTGAGATGTGGCAGAACAAGACTATGCATACTTCCTCCCTCAGTGCCCTTTGCCTAACTCACAGTGAATTCTCAATACCTGACTGAATCGCAGTTGCCCCAAACCTCAGGCGAGAGGGAGGGCTGCCGTTCCTCTATTCATGCCAGGCATCAAGTGAGCCCTAGAGATAAACGGTGAGCAGGCCAGATGAGAACCCTGCCCTCACGAGTCGGTAGTCGACCGGGAAAAGCAGTGACATTGCCTGGGGAAGGACTTGATGGATTGGGAGCTCGCTATTAGGGTTCAGTGCTTAGACCCGAAGGCAGAAAGCCTTCTCATTGTTTCCTCTTTCTCTCCACAGAACATAGCGGCCTGACCACAGGGGTGGCCTTTGGCCACCATGCCAAGTTCATCGCTTCAACAGGCATGGACAGGAGCCTCAAATTCTACAGCCTCTAGGCCCAGTTCCTTTTGATGCAGGCTGGGCCACATCTCAGTAGTGGGGTAGACTTAGGGCTGGGGTGGTGGGTGGGAGGAAGGGGAGAGAGACTACTAGGGGGAGGGGGGTCTGTAGGGTGGGACATTCACATCATTTCACTCTGGTCTGAGTGGTGGCCTGAGCCATGTTGGCACGGACCACCCTATCCCATGCAGCCTCCAGGCCCCACAGGAGCAGACGTGGACGGAACTGTCACCCTCTGTAGGGTCAGGGTTAGAGCCCAAGGCCTCTCCCCGATGGCATTCCTTGGGTTGGCGATGTTGGCTGTTCCACACCCACTCTGCTTCAGTTCCTGTGAGGCAGGGAGAGGGCGAGCCGAGGGCACTGTGAAGGGGATGGGGAGGAGGGTGTGTGCAGGTTTTTATAAGCAGTGATCTAGTTTCATTAAAAAAAGAACACAATAAACACAGCCACCTCCCCATGTCTGTCTTTAGCAGGAGCGCCCTGAGCTGGGAGGGTCAAGGGGGAAGAACAGAGGGGCCTGTCTGGCCTTTCCTTCCACAGCTCTTAAACTTTGATTTTTATTTTATTTTGATTGCCTAACAAATAAAACAAAAACAAACCTCCTACAAGCCATCTGTCAGGAGGAATCTTCCACGTCCCTGCAGGCCTTGTGCGTGTGTTTTAGAGGCCGGTGGGGCTGGATTCTCACACAAACCTGGCGGGGAGGGGAGGTCCAGGGAAGATCATCCTTGTTTTGCTGGGGAGGGACTGTGAACAGATCAATAAGGATCCTTGGGTTGTAGGTGATAGAAAACCTCTCCCACACTGGCTGGACTCCAGACTTGATTGACTCTGGCTACTGAAGAGTAGGAGTAGAGCTGGTTCCAGGACACCTAGCCAAGAAAGTAAATAAACAAGATCAGGCAGCACAGCGGGCTACTTGAGGAATCAGATCGGGTGTCAGAAACAGCCTCAGACATAACGCCAGTCAAACCAAAGCCTGAATGACAAGGAGCTAGAAGAGGGAGGAGTGGTGCAGGCATGGGAAGGCTCTGAGGCTGGGATGGGCGAGGTTGATGGAGGAGTAGGAAGGAGGCTGGGTGGTCGCTGAGTGTGGCAAGGGAGGTCATCTCTGCCCTTGACAAGAGCAGTCCCAGTGGCAGTTGAGGAGACAGTGGGAAGTGAGAAAGTGGGAGTCAATGACTAGATAAGAAATTGTACCCACAAGGGGAGCTGAGAAACAAGGTGGTTACCTGGAGGGGGCCGTGGGTCAAAGCACAGTGGTCCACATTGTCAATGGAACAGAAGCCCTCCAAATGTATTGTGCTGGGTCACTGTTCTGTGGTTGAGGAAGTTCGTGCATCTTGTATCCCTTTCTTGGAGGGTCAGGATGCTTATTAGCAGGTAAAACTCTGAAAAATCTTGCAGTAAAAGAAACCATTTAGCTTCTTAACCCTGTTTCCTCAACCCAGGGAAGCCTTTGCATGTATCTGTCTATAACACGCTTTAAAAGTCCATGGAATTCACCTTTTGGAGAACACACCACAGTTTGAGCTGTTTGTAAACAATGCTGCAGTGAACATCTTTGGCATCTTTGTTAGTTTGGGCCTAGTTCTCATGGATAACTTCCTAGGAGTAGAATGATGAGGCAGTGTATGGAATTACTTGCAGGTTTTCCAACCCGGCCAGTCTACTTTGTACCATTTTGATTGTATGGCTCAATGTGTGATTGTACTAGTGTTACAGATCCCATCTGATTTGGGGTATTTATTCCTTCTGATCGGAGAGGTATATGCTGGCCTTTTTGTAAGAAAAGACCCATCGCACACTTCTCCTGAGGCAGGACAAACTTAATAAAGAGAAAGGGAAACCACTGAGTGAAGGTGGGCTGATAATGTCTGTCACGGGCAGGTGGCAAAGCTGCTGCCTTTGAGGTAGGGGTGGGCTGGCTGGGGTTGTGGGGGCATCCTGTGGCTAAGTTAGACCCCAGGGCAGGCGCAGCACTATAGCCATCTAATGATTTCTGGTGCTCCATCTTAATGTGCGTTCTTCAGGCTTGCCTTTATTTCCAGGGAAACTAGTTGAGGAGACACTGAAGGACAGAGGTTCTTGGGGGATCCATGGGTTGAGAGGAGCCACCGTGGTCACCCTAAGACTGTGTGAAGCATGTAGTGTCTCCACGCATATTTACATTTTTCTAGAAGAACTGGGGCTTCGTCCTGCTCTCCTGGCCTCTGGGAGCCTAGTGTTTGGATTCTGAGGCTCTGAAAGGCAGCCACCTCTGCCCAGCCATCTGTAAGCTTGAATGGCTGCAGGTCTGCGTGCCGGAAGCTGTGCAGTTTCTCATTGAATCCTAGCCTTGCTCTTAACTGTCCAGCAGCTCTGAGCAGCTTCTCGCTCCCTGCACTCCTCAGGTGGCTCTGTGCCTCTCCCTCTGCAGTACAGGGTAGAAGGTAGGAGTGTGGATTTGAGCCAGACTCCTTGGCTTTGGGTCCTGGCTCTGGCACTTAGTAGCTATGGTACCTTGGGCAGATTATTTAAGTTCTCTGTGCCTCAGTTTTTTCATCCACAGGATGGGGATAATGTACTTATTAAGGATTAAGTGAATTAGTATATAAAAAGTACTTAGAACAGTGCCTATACATAAATGCTGTATATTTCTCAGCAGCTGCAGCTGCTGCTGTCGCACGGTTTTCCCTCCCTAGCTTCTCCCTCCCAAAACAAAATAAAACCAGCCAACTCCTCCCAGGAACCTCCTGTAATGCTCTTCCCTACCTGCCAAGTGAGTGAGCCCACTCTGAGCCCATGGGTCACACCTCTGGCATAGCTCTGACTGCTGTGTTGAAAATGTTCATACATTTTCTCTCTCAGCTAGATCTTAATCTCCTCAAGGGCAGGGGCTGTGTCTTCTTTGCTATCATTCATGTTTTCACCTTAGGTCACACTGCTGCTAAGTGGCAGACTGAGGGACTCAACCCTGGGGCTCCGTCCAAAGCTCAGGCTCTTTCTGTCCCCTCGTAGGTGAAAGCAGGGGGCTTGACAGGCTTAGTTATTTCAGCCAAACTGGAGTGGAAAGCTGTCATCCCGCTACACTCCAGATTGTGGCTCAGCTGCCTTGTAGGAGGACGTGTTGGAAGTAGGTCTCTGTGTGAGGGTTGGTGGATTCTAAAGGACTCACTGTTCTGGACCCGTCTTGTCTGGCTAACAAATTTTGTACTTAGGGTACACGAGCAGTCAGTCCTAAGTGTCCAAAGGGAAATCTTTTGGTGGCAATCATTGTTCATGGCATCCTTCATGAGCTTGTGCCCTTTGAGGTTCCGTGTCTGGACCTGTGCCTGAGGACACAGCCCGAAGCCTCTGAGTCCCTAAACTGTTGGGAAAGAGTGCAGCTACATTTTTGTGCTCAGCCTGGGAACACTAACCGAGGAGGCCACCTGGGGGCAGTGTTGCCATGCCAATCTCCCAAGTAACACTGGCACCATTGCTGACCACCTCTTCTGGCCACACAGCAACCCTGCAAGGCGGTGGTGTTGCCCCAGTTTGCAGATGGGGAAGCAGCTTGGCTTCAGGCCACCCAGTAAGTAATGGAGCTGTGATGCTAAGCTGCCTGGCTTCAGAGACCAAGCTGATAACACCATCAGACAGGAATGGGCAACTAATGACCCCCTCCACACTTTCTAGGATAGTGTCATGGTCAAGTGTGGCCTCTGGAGTCAGAAGCCCCAGTCTGAATGCTAGCTCTGCCACTTTCTCTGGTGTGAGACTGTGTGTCTCTGTTTCTGTCTCCGAAGTGAGTTGACAGTGCCTGCTTCATAGGGCTGCTCAGGACTGAGTGAGCTAGTCCATGTTGACAGCACCTGGAAAGCTTGCAGTAGATGTTAGCTTCTATTATTTACCCTGCGTCTGTAAGCGCTGGAATCCAGCGACACTGCCTGGGTTCATGATGGCCCTTGAGGCTTGAGCACTTATGAAGGCTTAGTCTGACTCTGCCTTCTCCAGTCACTTAACATTCATTACCACTCTGATGGCACAAAGGTGATCCAGGCAGGGAGGCAAGCATATACAGATGAAAACAGCCACAGGAGAAGAGTTGTGATAGAGGTGCCGACACAGAGAAGGGGTGGGTGACTGCTTTGAAAGTTGGTAAATCTCGGGGGGAGGTGCCCTAGGCAGCATTTTGAAGAAGTGTAAGTTCACCAGGTGGACATAGGGCAGAGGATTGGGGGAGGGGGAGGCTGATGTAAGGAGCCTTGAGGTAAGGAGGGATGAGAGAGCAGGCTCAGGACCGGCCAGGAGGGGTAGGTGTGCAGTGAGGAAGATGGGCCGGTGAGGTGATGGAAGAAACCCCCAGTCGACTGTATGACAGCAGGCGACAGAGGTTGCTGGTTGGAACCAGAAGAATGAAGTCTGATCTCACCTAAAGATTTTCAGAATTTGGAGCAGTTTGTAACATTTTTAGTTTTTTTTTTTTAAATTGTGAAATATTCATTCGAAAGTATCTAAAACATACCTGTACAGTTGAGAGAATAATAAGCATTCTTGTAACTACTATGAATCAAAATTGACTCAGTGGCAGTGGGTTTGGATTTTGGTTTTTGTATCCACTACCTAGCTTAAAGAGAGCATTACCAACAAACCAGTTGCCGTTGGGTCAACTCTGACTCATGGTGACCCTATGTATGTGGAATTAGGTTGCCAGGCCTTTCTTCTAAGGTGCTGCTGGGTAGCCTCAAACCTCCAGTCTTTCTTGTAGCAGTCAAGGGCTTTACTGTTTGCACAACCTGTTCCCATTGCTGTTGGGTCAGTTCAGACTCATAGTGACCCTATAGTACAGAGTAGAACTGCCACATAGGGTTTCCTAGGCTGTGAAAGCAGACTGCTACATCTTTCTCTCGTGGAGTGGCTGGTGGGTTCGAACCACCGACCTTTCGGTTAGCATTCAAGTGTTTAACCACCGCTCTACCAGGGCTCCTTCAGAGAAAACCACTGCCTTGAAATTTGGGTTGATCATTCCTTTGCTTTTTATACTTTCACCACTATATTGTTTAGTTTTGCTGGATTTTGAACTTTATACAGATGAAATCATTCAATCTGCCGCCTTTGACTTTGCTCAACACTGTTCTTGAGATTTACCTGTGTGGGCACCTGTAGCTGTGGTTCATTCACTATTGGGCAAAGAAAGACAGCTCACATGAGGCTGCTGGGGCAGCACTCACGGAGGCTGGCGCCAGCGCACACCCTCGGGGTCATCATCATCCCAGGGCAGAGGGACCCAGACCCCCTGGGCTGTGGGCTTGTAAGTTGCATGCTTAGGAAGCCCAGCTCTTCTGGTATGATCAGGGCAGGATGTACAATAGCAGTATGGTGTGGCAGACCCTTGGCTCCAGACAGGTTCTGTCAGCTCAGTGTTTGTGTTTGAGGAGGCAGCATCAGCCCCTCCCCCGGCATGACCAGGAGTCTAGGGTCCCAAGTTTTACAGTTGCAATTCTTTGATGTGGCCAGCAGAGAATTCGCTGCACTGGCATTGGAGCAGCACAGGC